TATAGGCATTTAGGGGAGCCCTCAAAATTATTTTATGTCTCTCCTGGATTAGGATGCTGTGGCAGCAACAGACCAGAGACAGGCAGGCACAACCCTTCATTTCAGTGACAAAGAGTTCAAAGCCTTGCATCTGGTCAGGTAATGCCAAGGCAGAGGCACGGCCTAACAATGCATCTTTCAAGTCCTGCCATGCTTTCTGATGTTCCCTTGTCTGTTCCAAGGCCATGTCTTTTTGGGTTAACTGATAAAGGGGTTTAGCAATAACAGAGTACATCAGAATTCATAGTCGTGCATAGCCAGTGATACCCAGAAAGGTTTTCAGCTGTTTAACATTAGTTGGCACAGGCAGTGCCGAGATGGCCTGTAAACCAGGGGTACCCAACCACCGGTCCGCGGAACAACTCCTACCGGGCCGCTGGCTTGCTGGGCGCCGCCATCTTTTTTTGATGAAAAAGTGGTTCTGGTGAGCTTTTCCGGGTAGAAAGCTCACCGGAAGCACGTTTTCATCAAAAAAAGATGGCGGCGCCCAGCTGATGCCGGTACCGGGCCACGGCGCCCATCTGATGCCGGTACCGGGCCACGGCGTCAAAAAGGTTGGGGATCACTGCTGTAGACAGCTCTCATGAAGCAAACAGCGGCCATGGCACAGAACAAAGTCCAGATATTGCACTTCCTGAGAGGCCCATTGGACTTTATTTCTTGACACAGTATAACCCTTGTTGGCTAAATGGTGGAGGACAGCTATTGAAGTTGCTTCAACATCTTTTTGACTTCTGCCAGATATTTACAGGTCATCCACATATTGCAAGAGGGAAGTATGTTGGGTATCAAAGTCTTTATGTCCTGAGCAAGGGCTGCAGCAAAGGCTGTTGGGCTTACGATAGCCCTGTGGCAGCCGAGGCCAAGTTAGCTGACACTTGGAGCCATTGGATGGGTCCTCCCATTGAAAGCATCTTTTAAATCTATGACAATGTACCAGTTCTGGTCACTAGAGTGTGGACAACAAAGTATATGGATTTGCCACCACAGGATGCAGTGGGCGGATCCGGAAATTGACTTCTCAAAGATCATGGACAAATCTCCAAGTCCTGTCAGGGTTAGGGACAGGAAAAATTGGTGCTGACCAATATGACTGGTATAAACGAGAAGTCCGGTTTTCAGAAAAAGTTCTATCTGGGCCTTGATGCCAACCCAGGCTTCTCACTTGACAGAGTACTGCTGGATTGCTATAGGCTGGGTGTCTGGGAGGAACTGAGCATGTGGGAAGTGGCAAATTGTGCAAACCCAGATGTTCCTTGGTACCACACCTGGAGATTTATCTTCTGAGTTAGGCTATCTGGTAATTGGTCCCTTCTCCCCAAAACAAAGATAGGCTCTTTCTGGGGGTATTCTAAGGGAGATGCCCTTTTGTATGACGGCTCTCAGTTCCCTAAAACAGGGCTGTCAAATTCAAAGCCCATGGGCCGAATCTGGCCCATGGGGCCAGCCTGGAAATAGCAAAAGACCAGCCCACTGTGCCTCTGCTAGCAAAAATGGGGCATGGGGAAGGTGCTGCAGGAGGCTGGCTGTCCCATCTCCACACACACACACACACTGGCCATCCTGCAGAGGACAACTACATGCTGATCCGGTTCTCCAAGGAATCCAGTTTTGACACCCCTGAACTCAGACTAATTTGTAATAATTATATAACTATATCCTTTCAACATAATTCAATAAGCTGAGCCCTTCTGCTTAAACCTACGGTTTGAGACCAATAGCTATTATACACTTGGGAGATGCACTTACTATATTGCAAGTAAATTATTAAAAGAAATGCAGTAAAAAAACATTTGTGCAAGTGCAGAAAAAAAGCCTTGTTCTTCATGGAAACATTTGTTTGGCTGGAATGGATAAAAAAGCATGGCATATCATGAAGATTTGTGACGAAAAGGTCAGTTAGTTGCTGCTCATTGCCCTTTCCACACTCCAGTTTTCCAAGTTTATTGTTTTATGTAGGAAGCATGTTTTTTTTTACAACCTTAGGATTATTTTAAAAAAATAGCCAAATACATATTGCTACATTATCATAAGACAGTACTGGTGATGTGTAGTTCTACTGCCCTCAACTGGTACTTTAGAGGAATTTTTATTGCTTTCAGTTCATTTTCTCAAAATACAGAACAACGTTAGCTGTCTGGCTGACTACTGTGAGATACAAAATGATCTAACAGGATTCTTATGGTTTTCTATGCCGTTAAAAAGACTTTTGGATCTTTTTTTACAACTTTTGTTTTTTTAAAAATAAATTTTATTAAGTTTTCAAATTTTAAAAACATAAAACTTTATACATTATCAACATCAAGATATCTTTTACATCTCCTTACATTTTTCAATATATGTAGTTACTTATTCCATTACCATTATATCTTACTCTTGCTATAAATCAGTATCTTTTATCCTTACACATCAATCTTCTCTATGACATATTTACGTATTTACATATTCCCTCATTCTTTTCCTAATTGCCATTTTATTTTTATTTCTAAACCACTCATACCAGACATCCTTTTGGCCCTTCATATGCTTACTTCCAGGAGTTGGGCAGCATATCAAATCAATTAATTATGGCTATCTTTTCTATGTTAACTGTGAGAGCCAGGTTGGTGTAGTGCAGGGGTTCCCAACCTGGGGTGCTCGCATATTCCAGGGGGTGCGAGAAAAGTCCAGGTAAATAATAGGATATTGGCTATATGTTGGCATTTTTATTTTCAGGGGGTGCGAGGTTCGAGTGAAATTTCTTTAGGGGTGCGGGGCGAAAAAAAGGTTGGGAACCACTGGTGTAGTGGTTAAGGCTTCAGACTGGAAACCAGGAGACTGTGAGCTCTAGTGCTGCCTTAGCTAAGCCTAGGAAAGAGGCAGTGGAAAACTACTTCTGAAAAGCATCGCCAAGAAAATTGCAGGGATGTGTCCAGGCAGTCCCAGAGAACCGGACACAAGCGAATGAGGAAAAAAAGTTAATTACATGGATACCTAAACTAGCAAGCTTAGATATGAATTCTTTGACAAATTCAATAAGGTTCACATTTCAAATTCCTCCACCAGCTGCTTCATCTCCAGTTTGTCTGGGACAGCTTACAGAAACATGCCACTCAGAAGCAATCCCATCAAAATCCTAAATCACCCCGTGATACCAGAATCAACCTGGATATGAATAGAGTTACCAGCAAGACTGGTAGAAAGTTCAAGTGCCCATTGGAATAGGGATAGATCTATAAAAAATCAGGAGTGGGTCATTTCAATATACACACACTTACCGGTATATACATATACGGGTTAGGGTCTCACTGTGTGTTTGTGTATGCATATACAGGTACTACCGTACTCAAATTACACAATTAATTTAGTGACAATTCAAAGTTATAAAGGCAATGAAAAAATGACTGATGACCATTTTTTACACTTACGACTGTTGTAGCATTCCCGTGATTACTTGATCAAAATTCAAACTGGCAATTGACTCCTGTTTATGATGCTAGCAGTGTACCAGGAGTGTACCCTGTGATCACCTTTTGATCTACTAAGTAAAGTCAATGGGAAAGCCAGATTCACTTAAAAACCAGGATATCAACATAACAACAGCAGTCATTCACTTAACAACTGTGCCACTAAAAGGAGTAAAATAGGGCAAAACTCACTTAACAATTGCCTTGTTTAGCACAGAAATGTTGGGCTCAATTGTCAAGGATTAGTCAAGGATTACCAGTACATGTATATGTGTATAGATACAATAGGTATATATAAAATGGCCAACCAATATATTAAATGCACATTTATTAATGGTGAAAATTCCAGAATTTGTTTCAGCTACAGTTGGCCTTCTTAGGATGGGAAGATGTGCTGACAATTATGCAGAATATTTGTTTATAACTATTTTTTCTGGTTATTCTTCTTTCTGGGAATGCTGTCTTAAATCAAAATTGTCTACCCAAAAGGTTGTACATGAAATGATTTCAATTTTCTTTCAGCTGAAGCTTTAAAAAGAAAAACTGCAGTAGATCTTGCTATTTTTCAGCCATGATTTAGACTTTTCTTTTTCCCTTCTTCTGGATACTTTTACAACAATGTTTTTTCTTCAGCGTGATCCATTTCTGTACCTACCTCATGCAGTATGTTATTTTTTTCATCAAGACTTATTATATAAAATGATAATATGGAAGCATTTCTGGAACTTAAGCCAAAGTGTATTAATCTTAAATAGTCTCATATCAACATAGTTTATAAGATAACATTATTTAGTACAAAGACACTTGAAACTGGTTTTTTCCTCATAATCAATACATATTCTAAAGTATAGAAAGCTTTATTAAGAAAATTATTTCTGCCACTTTTATTATAATGCTAGGCATCTTATTAAATAAAACCAGGAATTTCACAATGGGAGATCGTCAACACAAAAGTAGCATTTTAAAGCCACTTTTACATCACCAGGTACTTGGTAGACAACTGTTTATTGTGGAAGATACAAGACTGATTGTAATCTAATCTGTTTAGACCAGCTTGTTTTTGGTCTATCCTTTCTGCAATAACCAGAAGGCTGAAACAACAGCTGTTATAAGCAGTGCCTCTGTTGTGACTTGTTCATCTTGTGCTTTTAATTCCCTTATTGTATATTGTTTCCCCTACTCATTTATTGCATCTCTTTTAACATTCATTCCTTCCAAACGTTGTTTTTCCACAACCCCTTTCTGAATCTTCCTGCATCCACAAACCCATTCCTTCCATCTTTTATTTCCTAAAAAAATACCGTTCCCCCCTTCTTCATCTCCCTTTTCATGCTGTAAACATCATTATATAGAGCTTGCTATGTCTTTCCATCATTTTTTTCCCTAGAGAAGAAATTACAGGTGGCCCTCGATATACAATCACAACTAAGCCCAACATTTCTTAGCAAGAAATTTCTAAGTGAATTTTGCCAGGGCATGCCACTTGCCAAGTGTCTGAATTCTGATCACATAACCATGAGGGATGCAGCATGGTGTGGAAAAGATGGCCACAAGTTACCTCATATCAACCCTGAGGTACAACTATTCTCCTTTATTAGAAATGTAAAGAATATAAAATATATAGAAAACACACATACACACACATATATATATACACACTCTTTCTTCTTATAACCACCTTCATTCCTTCTCCAACCACATAAGATCACTTACCTCCGTTCCCCTCCGAAAACACCAGGCGGCCTACAACGAACGGCAAACCTCCCGCCAACGGCTCGCGCGGGTTCCTGGAACTTGTAGTTCTTTCCCTCCCGACTCTCCTCCCGATGACGCGGATTGGACGATCAGAGGCCTACCCGGAAGTGTTGCTATGGCGGCGGTGCCCCCCTTCAGTGGCCTGGTCTCCGAGTTGGAAACCTACCGGGGCAGAGACCGAGTGGTGAGAGGAGGATGGAAGAGCGAAGGGTGGTTTTTTCGGGGGGCTAAGAGGACCGAATGCGGGCGGTTACAGGGTACTTTCTGTTCAATGGGATTCCCCTCGGGTCGCCCAGGGGATTTAAAAAGCAGAGCAAGCAGGAGCCGGGATGTCCAACTTTGGCGGTGGATCCTGAGAGCTGTAGTCTCCCCCCCTTACACACACACACACACGTATTGCCCGTTGTGAGTTTGGGAACTTTCCCTTGGACGTCCGCTCTCCTTTTGCTTCCCACAGCTAGGGCATCCTCTAGCTCAGGGGTGTCCAACCTTGGCAACTTTAAGACTTGTGCAGGGGTTTCCAACCATGGCAATTTTAAGCCTGGAGGACTTCAATTCCCAGAATTCCCCAGCCAGCTTTGCTGGCTGAGGAATTCTGGGAGTTGAAGTCCACAAGTCTTCAAATTGCCAAGGTTGGAGACCCCTGGTCTTGTGGACTTCAACTCCAAGAATATCTCAGCCAGCAAGGCAAAGCTGAGGAATTAAGGTTTGTGGTCCCAATAAAGGAGGAGAAGGTTGAAATGAAGAGTCCTTGGTGTCCTCTGAGCTTGCCTGTTTTTTTGCAGTTTCATTATTCATACTAGGTAACATTAATCAGTGCTGATGTTACCTAGTGTGAGTAACAAAACGTCTGCAAGCAAACCAAGGTTTATGGTTTCCTGGACCTGAGAGGTACCATATAGAGAAAGGCTGAATTGTGACTCCAGGATCTTGAAGAACTGGGAACTCTACGTGTTGTTTTATAATTTGGATTGCTCCGAGAGGGAGGGAGAGAAAGAGAGGGAGGGAGAGAAAGAAAGATCTCAAAGGAAGAAGGGAGGAAAGCACATTTTGAGATCAGTGTTTGCTGCATTGTATGCTTATCTCTTTGTTTAACATTGGATCTGTAAACTATAAATATGTTTCTCATGTATTTAAAATTCATATATGTACACACAAAATGTAGTGCACAAAACAAGTAGAAAGCATGAAATGTGATAATAAAAGGCGCTAACACATAATTACATTTCTAGCAATTTTATTTTATTTTTATATGCTGCCTTGTCTTCCACTTCTAATTTATGCACCCTATAGGTACTTAACAGATCCCTGGCCACTACAGTTGGGATCAGACAACCCATGTGAGCCTTTGGATTATCATTTCAGAAATATTTCCTTACCAGATTCCTCAGTGCCTTCAACAATGTCAGAACTTTGAATGTACTTGAAAAGTTCTTAAAAATTCAGGGAGATATTCAAAGAAGCCTATGTTGAACATAGCACACACGTCAGCATAGGAAATGTTTTGTGATGTTTTGTATTATCATAAACTGTCACAATCATTTTATGTTATAAAATATTATATGCCATTTGACAAATTTTAATTTCACAAGAGTCGTAAGTCCCAGATTGTGGACACTTTGTGTAAATTAGCCCATTAAAGGTAACTTGGTTCAAAAATTGTTGCTCTATGATGCACTGTTTTACCCAGTTAAAGGTTACAAGAGTTTTAGTACCTAGTTACATATATTTTGAGGTTCTAAGGATATCATATCGGTCAGCCCCCCTCCCAAAGGATCTTTCGCAGAGGCGCTCAAATCTAGCATCAAATATAGCACAATCCCTTGTTCTCCAAATTATGATTAAATCCTTCACATACATGAAAAGAATAGATTTTACCATATTATGTTCCTCTAAAATTGAGTAAGCTAAAAGTTGAAATATATTTTTCAGTCATCTATAACATTTTGGTGAAACAGGAGCCAATTAATTTTTTTTAAAAAATAATGTGAGTGGGGAGAAAAAAGCTATCTTTGAAAGTATCCCTCTCAGTTTAAAGATATTTGTAAAGTTATTTACCAATAATAAGAGGATATGAAAAAAATATGGCCTACAGAACACCTTTTAATTTTGTCCTGTTCTCCAAACTTTAATAGTCTGAGGATACGTGGCTGTTTAATAAAAATATAATTAGCAAACAGTACTAATGCTTTATACAATAAATCTGCCCACATAAGATACGCACCATCTGCTATGGCTGTCAACTGGCTGGAGGGATTTTGGTGGCCAGAAGACAACCTGGAGAACCATCCCTTGGCCAAGGCCTCCTGGCTGTCTCAGCACAACTGAGTCACTGTCGAACAGTTCTACGGCTTTTTGATGACCTAGCCATGCTTTCCTATAGCTGCCAGTATGGACTGGGGAACAAGGTAAGACATCCCAGAAAGTGGATGCTGTCCACAAAGTGGAAAGCTTTGAATGTTAATAGGGGCATTTGCACGCGCACACACACACACACACACACACAAAAGTCAAATCTTATCCTGGTCCAGGGTCTCCTAACACAAGAAAGATAAGAATGCAAGCAACAATAAGCAAAACCCATTCCCAGATATACGGTATGGTTAACATTTTTTGAAAAAATATGCCTCTGAATATACTGTTGGTGAACAATGGAAAACAAAAATCTAGATGTTCCTTATCACAATACTCATATTTTTGCAGCATTTTCTGTCTGTTATTCAAAATATAGAATATGACAGCTTACAGCTCTCTCCCTCCCTCCCTCTTTCTCCATCTATCTATATCAGATTAAGCTTGTAGTTTACTAAAATAGGGCTGTGTTGTTTACATGAAATCACATGTCACTAAGTTGTCATTTAGAGCAAAGGATGCATACTACTGTATGGCCTTTCCCTGCTGACTTTCCTGTTATCTGCAGCTGTTGGTTCTCATCATCACTTCATGGAAATACAGGAATACTGTATGTGAGACTTGCAAAGCATTTCAGTTACAAGGATCTTCATGGAAATACAGGAATACTGTATGTGAGACTTGCAAAGCATTTCAGTTACAAAGACCTTGCTACAAGTTGTAAGGAACATTGGAGAGCAATATAACTTAATCGAACTGAATCCAACCATCTCTCAATTTAGTAACAAATTTAACAAGAGTTCTACTGTTTTACAGTTTAGGCTACAGAGTTTCTTCTATGTATGTTCCAGGCTTTGTATGAAATACTGAATGAAAAAGGCTATTTGAGATGATTGAAAATACTGGAGATGAAGGGAGGAATTTTTAGATAGAAAAAGAAGTGCAGCTTGAAGTAAGTGGTTCCATTTAGATGTTCGGACAACGTTATAAAAAACAGCACTTTATTTAATCCCTTATAATCTGGTGGACAACAGGCAATTTCTGCCTTCAAGGAGTGGAAGTTTTCTGACAAGAATTAGTCTATTTTTTAATAGATAGGCTGCAAGAATGATATGGAAAAAGATGTGACACTGGATATACCAATGAAACCAGCTAATATCTTAAAAATTAAAGGGGGTGTATAAATAAACCGAAAGAGTGGCCTGAATAACTTTTCTATAATGGGTTTACAATGAGAATTGTTAAAGCTTTGAAGAATTTTGTGAAAAGGGACAAAAGAAAAATGAAATATTATTTGAAGGGATTGAAGATCAAGATTGTTTAAAGGGAAGGAAAATAAACTTGGTTAATTTGATCAAGATTAAAATAGATACATTATCATTTCTGGTAACCCTTAATGGACCTTTACTGATCAGGACTGAATAAAGAGATTTTAAGAATTTGTTTGTAGATAAGAGACAAGAAATATCAGAAGATCACATTTGTCTTTTTTTCAAGGGGTGATAAGTTACAAACATTGTTTATAGTTATGATGAAGGGGGAAGTCATTTCTTTATATGCCTTTTCTTTACTATATATATTTTCTTTATTGTATTATTTTTTCTTTTTAGTTTGCATTAGTTTTTCATCTTTTTAATTGTAATAAAATTACTATTAAAATATATAGGCATTCTCAAACTCACAACGCCAAGAAGCTCCATTTTACGATGTTTTGCAAGTCAGTACTACTTAAGGTAATACTGATCAAATCTCAGATCTAGTTTAGGATGCTTGTATACTAGTAATATTTCATCTGAATGCCAAAGTGTAATGCACATTTCTGGCTTGGTGACTGGTCTTTGGTCCAGAAGAAGAAAGGAGAAGATGGAATGGAGAAATCAACACTTACACTTGCTTACTATCCTATTGCAGGAGAAGGATACAGCAATGCGCTGGCTTTCCATCTTCAACAACGTAGCTGACCAGCTTTATTACCCCTGTGAGCATGTGGCCTGGGCTGCCGATGCTGAAATTATCCATGCCAACTCAAGTAGGTGGTGGACACTCAGTACGACTCTCTGGGGCTTTTCTCTGCTGCTGGGGATTGCACGGTAAGAAGTAGAGGAGGGGGTGGGAGAAGAGAGAGACTGCCTGGAATCTAGATCCCCAAAGTGCTTGAATAATTGGGACTCAGATTCCGATTGAGCAAGTCCTCACGCTTTCCTCTTTCCATATATCTGGAGTATCAAGAAGGCTTTCTAGTATCACAGAATTCAAGCATTATTAAGGACAGGGAACTCTTTCTGCTCCAGATATATGGGCTGCAGCTAAACTTTTGTCTTTACATTCTCATTCCAGATCTCTCCGAATTTTATTACTCCTAAGAAGAAAGCAGCATACAGAATCCAGGTACGACTTCTTGCCTCGTAAGCAATTTTTTTTTCTCGCCAATTAACAGGGATAAATTCTATTTGGCATATAGGCACACATCTGAACACTTTCCAGAAAAGTTAAGAGTCAATCCAGAAGGTTAAGGGAATTTGTATTAAATTGTCCTTGTTCTTTTCCTCTTTCCTTTCCTTTCTTTCTTCCCTCTCATCCATCCACCCATTGATCTATCCTTCCTTAGTATCTGCTCTCCAAAACTTAGTTAATAAACCAAGCTATGTTGTTGGATTGTGCTGATCTTTTATGGTAACAAATCAATAGTCCAGTTAGCACACATTTATTATTCTGTTTGGAACAAAAGTAGAACTTTAGCTCCTTGGGGCATTCTATTTCCACGTGAGGATTTCTTCTTGAATGCTTCAGTTGTTGCCAAGAGTAAAAACTTATTTCAGGACAAAGATAAACCATTAGTTTTCTCCCTCCAGGTCTGATAGCAACAAATCTCAGCAAATGTTATTTTTCTCCTCCATGTCTGGTTTGCAGAGACTTCTATCAGAAAACAAGGGCTGAAATGCACATACAAGCCTTGACCATCATCAGCAACCTGGCTGACCTTGCCAATGCCATCCACTGGTTGCCTCCAGGAATTCTCTGGGCTGGAAAGTTTTCTCCATGGTTTGTGGGCCTCATGGGAAGTATTTCTTCCTTCATTGGGATCTATCAAAACTATGCAGGGGCCAGTTGTGGAACAGTTTGAACAGCAGCTTCACAGTGCTGAATTGAGTGGAGAAAAGGGGCCATCACAGCAATTCATGAAGGGTTGCATAATCTCTGTTGAAATGGGGGACAGTAATTCCTATTATGGTGGAGGCTAGATTGGGATTAGGTTCTACTATTAAAACATGGTGCTGCTTTTATATAACTCATAGGCACTTTCCTGGAGGATCTATTTGCGAGAGCTTATAGTGTTTAGTTTGCCTACTTCACTCTCTGTATAGGTAGTCCTTGAGTTACAACCACATTGGAGCCTGGAATTTCAGTCATGTCACTGTTATCATAAGTCAAAGCACCACATGACCAGACTTGATTTTACAATTGTTTTTACAATGATTGTAGAGTGAGTCACTGATTGTTAAATGAATTACATGGTGGCTAAGCAAATCTATTCTTCTAAATGGGCATTTTTTGCTGGAAATTGGCAAGAAAAGAAAACCCAGAAACTGGTGAAAACATCACAAATTGTGGTCACATGGTCACAGGATGCTACAGTCAGTCATAAATGCAAGCCAACTGCCTTGCGCCCAAAATGTAATCATGTGACCGTGGGAAGGGGGAGGTAGTCATATCCTCAAGGACCCGTTATATGTAGCTTTTTAACAGTATGTTGTAATTTCAACCTGTTGTTAGCTACCTTAAGGGACAAATGGCTGCCCTGCCAATTAAATAATTTGGCTATGTTTTTTATGTGAAGAATACAGTCTTGCTCTATGTACAGTATTTTAATGTAAAACAATTAGGACTGATAATAAAAGATACAATCTCACATTTTTCCTTAGCTGATTGGCTCTTTTGATATAGCTCTGAACACTTGTCTTTTCATCAAATGTTTACTTGGAGTATGAAATCCTGTTCACTCATAGCTACATTCAATTTCAGAGAGCCAGTTTGGCGTAGTGGTTCAGGCATCAGGCTAGAAACTAAACCATGAGTTCTAGTCCTACACTAGGCCCAAAGCCAGCTGGGCCAGTCACACTGTCAGATCTAGGTTGGAGACAGTGGCAAACCACTGCTGAAAAACCTTGCCAAGAAAACTGCAGGGACTAAGACAGGCAGTTGGCAGGAATCAACACTGGCTAGAAGACACCAAAAAAGCAAGCAAATAAACTCAAATTCCACTGCAGAGAAATCTCAGGGCATTAAAGAGTAGCTGCCCAATTCACAATGCAGTGGAGACATTGCCACTTTTGGACATAATTATGTTTTCACACCATAGAACATCTTTCATGATTCGCTCCTTTTGCACCAGTTTATTTGGCTTTCATCCACATCTGATCTCCAACATGGGAGCTTAGCTTGCTTGCTAAGTCTTGAAACCCTCTCTCAGACAAGAGCCCTACAGAAAGGATTCAACAAAGATCTGTGTTATCTATCAGAATTATAATTCACTAAGTATCTGATTTGAGGGAGACCATAGTTTGCTTTGTTTTGGCAACCACCAACACAAGTAATCACATCAAATGCAATTTCAAACAAAGATAATACTTCAAAAGAAATATTTTAAGGTTCGATTTATGGTTTCATGGATTGACTCAAACAGGTTCAGGTTTCAGTTGTATCTGAGATTCCACAATTATCCTATAGTAGAGCAACAGTTGCAATCATTGCTTAAAAAATAGCCATAATTTGTTGTGACAGGATCCCATTTGATCATTACAGTAGTGCACAAATTTGACAAAAAAAATATTAAACACTGAAAACCATCAACTTTACAAATAATTAAAAAGGAGAGTTACATAGAATGATTGCTATGTAATAACCACTAAGAGAGGATCTATGTACAAAGTTACTAGGATTTTGTCTAAAGAGATAGTTAAAAATCTGTTGAAGAAGCTTCAGGCTGATGTATTCACACAGAGAAGTAAAGCGCAAAATGAGCTTTTCAGACTTAAGCCACTAGAGGCAGAGGACTTCTCAATAAAGTTATATAGCCACTTCTTACTACAGAGAAACTTTTTTGTTCATCAGTAAGACAGAAAAGGAAATAAAAATGCCATCCATGTTCTAAAGTGCTTGGATTCGTCTCACACCATCCATATATATCAGAAAACACTGATAAGCATGGCACAAATGGTCAGTCAGAATGCAATTCACAAACATTGTTAAGTACAATAAAATTACTTAAACGATTTTTTTGTGATGCAGCTGGTAGATCTTACACAAAGAGCTTAAAAGCTAATTTTAAAAAACCCATTTTCTTTCATGGCTGCCTACTGTAATCTTCATGACCTCATCATCAGAGTCTGGATGATGGTTTCCTAAGATAGGAAGCGGGGTTCATATTAAAGTGAACGGCACCATGGTTTCTGCCATGCATGGACTGTTCATAGGCTCTGCTTTCAAAGCCAGTCTCTCTTCTGACCTCCAAACTTCCTAATGGCTCTAAAAGGAAACCAAGGTCTCCATACAGTCAAAAGAACACGTACAGGCCTCACAATAAAACAAGACCCAGAGTACAAGAGTTTCACCTCGAGACACTATTCACGTGCAACAAGGTGGAAGAAATCAGACTTTTCCATAACTCACTTTCAAACAAGCACTTGTGATGCCAGGACACAAAGACAACGTGCAGAGTGTAAATTTGGGGAAAGTTAAAACTTCAGCAGCTTGCATCTCCAGTAGTTTTGTGACCTGAGGAACAGACACAGAAGAGAGGCAATGGACGTTCCCACAGGGAATGACATCTTTTGGCGAGAATGAAGCTCCACTCAAAACATCTTGATCAGTTATTAAGTTAAGAATTTCTTCATTTCCTTCATTTGAACAATCAACCAGAAACAACTTGGCATTCGATGTAATTCTGACCTGCATTTCCCACCCACTTTCCCCCTCACACTCCATCCAAACTATCTGGAAAGGGTCTGGAAAATTGAGCCTGCTGTTGTGTGGGGCTAGGTACTGCAGCAAGGGTCTTCAGCAGGAACAAAAATCCAGGACTCAATTTGCACTGGAGGATTTCCCCACAATTGGGAGGAGAGGAGGAAGAAAAATGAGTCTTCAGGGGAGATGGGGTGCTTTGCAACCAGGCAGGGCCTAATCTAGTTCCCTCAGATTCCCTCCATAGAGTCCCTAAGACCATCAACATCTTTGTTTGGTCCTACACAGAGTCCAAGGGCCACCTTATGGTTGAATGTGAAGCTTTTATTGTAAAAGCTTGCCTTGGAACTCAAAGAAAGCCAGAACAATGTTCTAGCCCAAGGAACGATGTAAGCAAAGCCAAGATTGTAACATGAAGCCCCCAAATGAAATCTTCATTTTGAATCCTTTTCCAGGGAAAATCTTGCAGCTCTGCCTTCAGATTATGCAGCTGGGGCAAGGCAGACCATCCAACACCCATTTGGGCAAAGAAAGCAGACCTTGGTGTTGATCAGAAAAAAATAACATCATCTTTGCTAGCATCATCCAGAGCAGGTGGAAGGACGTGAATGCTGTTGGGCTTCATGGGACCAACAGAGGTAGATGGCGCTTCCAGGTGGCTGCTCTCAGCAGCACCAGCCAGTTCTGTCAGGGGGAAAAAAGGGAAGAGGAAAAGGTCACTACGCAGCATAGTACTAGATCAGCTACCCCAGCTATGCCTGTCAAGTGTATTTTACCTGGAAGGAAGGCAACATTCTGGCTATGCAGAAAGACGGGGCTTGCAGAACGTCTGTTTCGAGACTGAGATTCTTCCTTGGTAACTATCTTGGAAATTGGGAATGGCCTCATATCACCTAATGTTTGAAATAGAAATGAAAAGAGGAAAAACTCAGCTGATCTATGATAGTAAAGGAATCACCAGGCATTAAATCATAGCCCGGTTAACTAAATAAGGCTTCTTTGTCAGCAACAACTAATTTTAATAAATACGTTGAGAGAGATCCATAAAAGGTATTAAGGCAGAGTCTGATTACTTTGGTTTGGGTTAGTGGATCATGATCTGAACTTGGCCATTATTATTTGTATGTCCTACTTTTGATGATATGTTACTGTAACTGTAACATTCAACAAACTGGTCAGGATGAAACCATGGTTTATTGCAGACATCAGTTTTGCAACTACGGACCATAATATTTTAAACTTTCAGCAGTCTCAAGGAACATGGTGGCATAATCTCTAGTTTGTGTGGAAGAAATCTGGGCCGTTCCCAGTCACCTCAGACTCGCCCACAAAATTGGCACAAAACACAAGATTCAAAAGAGGAACACATTTTTGCCACAAGAAACTGTCTATCCACCCATAACATACATTCTGCTACAGTTCTCAGTATAACAAAGGCAGAAACATTTTAAATGAGCTAGTAAAGTACATTTTCCTCATTTGACAATTCCTAGAATTCCCCTCCATGCATATAAAGTTGGGGATTGAAGTTCTAGCACAAGAGGAGGGTAAATGGCTGAGGAAGGCTATAGAAGATGTTGAGGAAATTCCACAAATGAAACACTACCATTCAGAACTCCCATCTAGATTTCAGTACCAGAGGTGGTATTCAGCAGGTTCTGACCAGTTCTGGAGAACCGGTAGCGGAAATTTTGAGTAGTTCGGAGAACCGGCAAATACCACCTCTGACTGGCTCCACCCATATCTATTCTCTGCCTCCCATTGAGTCCCAGCTGATTGGCTGGGTCTTTTTTTTTTCCTCAATTGCTTACAAGATAATAGGTACAAGTAAAAACATAGTTATGAATACATGGATACATATAAGAAAAATAAAAGAAACAATAGGACAGGGACGGTAGGCACGTTGGTGCGCTTATGCACGCCCCCTACAGACCTCTTAGGAAAGGGGTGAGGTCAATAGTAGACAGTCTAAGGTTAAAGTTTTTGGGGTTTGGGGAAGAAACCACAGAGTCAGGTAGAGTGTTCCAGACATTGACCACTCTGTTGCTGAAGTTGTATTTTCTGTAATCAAGTTTGGTGCGGTTTACTTTGAGTTTGTATCTATTGTTTGCTCTTGTGTTGTTATGGTTGAAGCTGAAGTATTAATTGACAGGTAGGACATTGCAATGTATGATTTTATATACTATACTTAGATCGGACCGAAGGCGGCGTAATTCAAGGTTTTCTAGGTCTAGAATTTCGAGTCTGGTGGCATAAGGTATTCTGCAACGAGTAGAGGAGTGGAGAACTCTTCTTGTGAAATATTTCTGGACTTTCTCAACTGTGCTAATATCAGATACGTAATGTGGGTTCCAGACTGATGAGCTGTATTCGAGTATTGGTCTAGCAAATGTTTTGTATGCTCTAGTTATTAGTGTAATATTTGTTGCCCTGCACAGGAGAATGGAGCTGGAAAGCAGGTTAAGTGGGGTGGGGAGGGAATGGAGATTTTGCAGTAACCTTCCCCTGCCATGCCCACCAAGCCACGCCCACAGATCTGGTAGTATTTTTTTTTAATCCCACCCACTGTTCAGTACCACCAGCAGTTTCTGTCCTGGCTCCTAGCCTATCCCTGGTCTGAGGGTTCTCAGCAACTTACTTGAACTTTCAGTCCTGTGGGAGGTCACCTTGACAGCCTTTCCAGCTTTTTCCTTGCTGCCCTTGGTCAAAATGGCCAGCTTGGTGGGGATCTGCTGCTGCACAGCTGCCTGTTTCTGGCTCTGGTTGGTGGTACTCAGCAAGTGGATGGGCACCTCATTCTTCAGGACCAGAATGGGGCGGCCTCCCTCCAATGCTGCACTGTCCTTTCGCACCAGTTCTCCTCGCTCCAGGTATTCTGTCCCAGAGATGCTGCCTCGCCCACCTGGCTTGGTAGGCAGCATGGTTCCTTCCATACTTTCGCCATTGAAGCTGACGGAGTGGCTCAGGGCGTGCGCCTGGGGAAAGTGGAAGATATTGGTCATTCACCTCTAGAGGAATCAAACTTCTAAGGACAGGTTCTTGAAAGCAAAAGAGGAAAGAAGTGGGAGTGGGAGCAGATTGCCAATTCTCAGGCTTACTTTTCATAAAGGCAGCTTCCTTATACAGGTAGTCCTCGACTTCCGACCACAATTGGGACCAGAATTTCTACTGCTAAACAAACTGGCTGTTAAGTGAATTGGGCCTGATTTTACAATCTTTTTTGCCATGGTTGTTACACGAATCACTGCAGGTGTTCAGTCATTAAGCAAATCCAGCTTCCCCCATTAGCTTTTCTTGTCAGAAGCCGGCTGGGAAGGTTTTACGGAACGGAATATCAGACCCTGGGGGCTTCTAGTCTAACCCCTTGGTCAAGCAGGAAACTCTATACCCGTGGTGGCTAACCTTTTGGGGCTCCCGTGCCAATAAATGCATGTGTGCTTGCCTGCTCGTGCTCGTGCGCCATCACCC